TTTTTTTTTTTTTTTTTTTGGAAAATGTTCCTTTCAGGTGCAAGATATGCTGCTTTGGCTCAGAAACCAAATGGCCCATTACTGTCTCCTGGCAGAATCACAGCCAGTGCTGAGTAACCTCCTATACCTTGGCAGACTGCTTTGAGACAGAAGCCCTAGCAGTTGTGCTGGAGTTTGAGCTACCCATCATCCCTCCTCCCTCTTTTTCTAGGGAAGGCACGGGAGCCACTGATTGGCCACCTGGGAACCTTGGATCTGGTGATGCTGTTTCAAACTCTTTGCAAATGCTGCTGCTGCTAATGATGATGACAATGATGGTGATGACAATAATAATGAAACAGTAGCAGTAAAAGAAGAGGAGGAGGAAGGAGAGGAGGAAGAGGAGAAGATATTGCTTTATATTAAACTCTTACATGGCCCAAGGCTAATATAGGGATTTATACAGTATTCAGTTTTGACATTCTAAAAAGCTTTTGAGGTAGGCTGTATTATCATCCTCATTTTGTAGATGAGGAAACCAATACACAAAAGTGTTTAGTAATTTGTCTAATTTCACAAAGCCAGGCTTCAAATCTGGTGGTCTTAAGCGAGAGTCCATGCTAGGAGTTTTTCAAGTTGAGCACATGTCAGTGTCATCTTCAGGGCTCCTTCAAATGAGCCTGCTGGGCTCCATCCTCACAGTTTCTGCCTCAGAGGGTCTGGGGTGGCACATGAGAACTTGTAGGTCTAACAAGTTCCTTAGTGATGCTGCTGTTGCTGGTCTGGAAATCACAATTTGCCAATCGCTTATGATGTAATTACAAGCCTACTGGGCATGAAATTGAGAAAATCCTGTCTTTCCTACAGCCTTTGTCCATCCTGTTGTTCCTTGTCTTTCTGCTGAGGGCACTGCATACAGCACCTCTCTCTTGATGAGCCCAGCTCTTTGCTCCCTGGCTCATAATTCTTGTAGAGATCCTCTAAACATCCCCTAAACATCCAAAGGCTAGGATTGTTCATAAGACAGTGAGGACACTGTGTTCTGTGTTGAAATCTTGTTGGCACTTTGCATGAAGAAGGAGAAAAGATGATAACTTGAGTGTAAAGTTAAAAGAAAAAAGAGAAACCCTACAGGAATTCCCTGAAATTGCATGAGGTAGTTATCCATTTGGAGAAATAGGTAATCACAGAAGGAATAATCTTATATGAAACATTCAGATAAAGGGACCACTCTTTAGGGCTACAACAGCTTAAGAGACCTAAAAATTGCTCAAATTGGTGGTTTTCAAACTTGAGCAGTCATCAGAATCCCTAAGAAGTTAAAACAGATAGCTACCCCCTTGGTCAGTCAGAGGTGAGGCACAGGATTCTGCATTTCTCATACGAACTTAGGTAACATTGACACTACTGGTGTGGGGACCTCACCTTGAGAATCATTAGCATAAGCAGTCACGTAATCTTTTAAAAGTCACAATAGCCACCATTTGCCCAGAGAGAGGTGCTTCAGGGCAAGCCTCAATTTTAATTCATCTGGATTCTCTTTGCCCACAAGGAGTAGTCTCCACAGTGGGGATGTCACCAACTTGGAATCTGGAGCTACTTACCTGGAGGTCAGGTCAGACTGAGATCATTTATTTACTCAGTAAATCTTTTCTGAGTCTTACTTTTTGAAGGTGTTGGGGCTAAGGTTATATAGATAATTCAGAGCTGAAAGTGATAGAGGAAGCAAACCCCCTTCAGGAAGTTTAGTATCCTATAGGGAAAAGCAGATTAGGATAATGACAGTGAGTGGGATGTAAGTGTAGAACTGGCAAAGCCATGAAGAGAGGAAGGAGAGCCCTGCTTAGTCCTGGCTGAATGGAGAGGCTTCCACAAGGAAGTCCTATTTCAGTGAGGCCAGGAGAATGCCTTTTGGGGTGTACACTGTTCAGGAAAGCAGAAGGAAGTGGTCTTTTGTCACAGATGGAGAGGGAGACAGTGTAATCCTACTGGGACAACTAAGATACTGTGGAGAGTGAAACAGAATGAATGAGAGTGAATCAGAAGGTCCCAAACCAGGAACATTTCCATGGAAGACATTGCTAAATTGGAGCTATACCATTTCTGCCCTGGGCCTTAAACTTTACCCACCTATGTTCAAAGAGACCTGAAAGGAGAAGGGAGAGAAGGTCTGCCCCAGGCTGGGGTCAGAGCACGATTCTTCTGGCCTGAGACCTGAATGATAAAAACGAACCAGTGAAGGGCTGTAGACAAGGGGTCTAGGAAGACAGAAATAAACAAATGCAAAGGCAATCAGGTGTAGGGGGAATCAAGATGGAGAAAACTCATGAAACAGAGAAGTTGGTGTGGCAGAAACTTGATGGATAAAAGGGGGAAGACATGAAATGGAATTGGAGACAGAAATGGGGAGAGCCCATTGAGAGCTTCTTGAAACATGATTAGGCATCAAGTTTTATTTCCATCACATTTCTATGCAGTGACAAAAAGGGAGAAGAGGGAGAGCAAAAGAAGACCAGATTGCCATGAGTTTTCTAGGCCTTGAAAATAAATGTGGATTTTATTTCTACTAGGTTTTAAGCAGAAGAGTGTCCTGATATGATATATGTCTTTTATTTTTGAATTA